ATTCCTTCGTGACTGTAGCTGCGTAAACAGTCGGCACAGCACCTTCAAACTGATCTTTCTTGAAGGTTCCATGCCAACAGTCATACCATAGCCAGCCAAGGGGAAGCTGTCAGGGTTAGCGAGCTCGTCAAAGGGGTGATATTCAGAATATCTTACGCCTCGAGGATGTCGACCTTGGTCTGTTTCGTGCTGACGAAGCCAGGGTGCGTCGCGTTCATGACAACGTCCGGGTGTCCGTTGGCCGTGACCTTTCTGGCGAAGTATCGCGCATACAAAATGTTCGCCAACTTGCTGCGCCCATAATTGGCGTTCACACCCTTGTCTTCATTGATCTCATTGAGGCTCTCGAACTTGATGTCCGACGGCGCGCCCTGGTGAGCATTGCTTGCCTGGACCGTAATGCGAACAGTGTTACCCTTTTCCGCCGTGGACTTCATCAGTGGCAACAAATGGCTCGTTAGCACGACGTGGCCCATGTGATTGATGGCCATCTGACGATCAACACCAGACTCTGTCAGCTCATGGGGCATGATGCCACGTCCGGCATTGTTCACGAGTATATCAAGCCGGTCATTCTCCTTCTTGATCTGCTCGGCAATCTCCATCACGCGGGGCCAGTCGGACAGGTCGCACTGGATGAAGTGCGTACGATCAGCGACCTCCTGGCCGAGCTCTTTGGCGATGGACTCTTTTGCTCCTTCAATAACCTCCCTGTCCGTAGATAGACTGTAGAGCTTGGCAATGTTGTGCGTGAGCAGGGTGTGGGTGACGCCATAGCCAATGCCCTGACTACCTCCTGTGACAACAGCGACTTTGCCAGCGAGGTCCGGTGTCTGATTGAGAGACCACTGATGTGTTGAGAGATTCTGGGCAGGTCCACCAAAGTTCTCGCCGATGGTGTTCTGCAGTCACTTGAGCATTGTTTCTCGCGGGACCTGTTTGACATTCATACCTTGATTGCCTCCATTGTCGGTGATGCGTTTCGCTGCAAGGTCTGGTGGAAACCGCGGTTCTGCCTCTGTGCCAGTGACGAAAAATGCTTCTGGGAAGGGCAGAAAACGTGTGTCACACTCTGCGGGTTTGCTGTCTGTACTGGCGATTTTGAGGTACTCGTCCGTCGCAAGACAATGGAAAGACGCAGGGAATACATGGGCGTGTCTGATTGAAGTGAACAGACGCGTTATGTCCAGTATTCTTGTTTATATGTTACTCACATGCCCTGTCAATCATACCGACATGTCGTGGTTCAGAGCGTCAATGTCTCGTCATCATCTTTCCATGACGCGCTGACATGGAAGCAGGGGCCGCCGTTGGTTCGGATGGGTTGTGGGTCGCTTGACCGGCAGTTAGCCGGAGCATATGCGGCCGGCTGTGGGGCCGCATCAGATCTGCTCCGGTATTCCGGTGTAAAGAGGAGCTCGATGGGAATCAAATGCTCCGAAACTCGACAAATTACTTCTCGAGCACTCCCCATACATTGAATCACCGACAAGACGAGGTTTCAGCAAAGAGGTGGCACAAAAATAATGTGCGTATTACAAGCTACATCTACTGTCTCTCCAGAACAGGTGGTATCAATGATCTCAAGAACCGCTCAATCTATACAACGACGTCCAAAATCACTGCTTCTCGGTCGGCGACGAACGACCGGAGACCTCCCCCTTGGCCTCGGCGTTGGCCGTGGCACTCTCGACAGCCGCAGCGACATCAATGTGGAAGAAGGGCCTGTTCATACCCTGCACGGCAGCCAGCTTGCCGTCACCGCGGTTGGCGAGCTGAGCCACGCCAACGGACCTCGTGGGCGCAATGACGTCCTCCTCGTCGCGGCTGGCGGTGCGCTCAATGGGACCCTTCTTCTCGATCGAATCGGAGGAAGCATCCGTGGCGGCGACGCTGAAGATGGGCTTCCAGCGACCCAGGTTGGGCTCGTCCTTGAGGGAGGGGTAGCCGAAGCCGGCGACACCGAGAGCGCGACGAGTCCAACGGTTGGTGACGTTGGCGAAGTGCCACTCGACGACCTCGGGGTCAGCGTAGCGATCGAGCTGGTTGCGGACATCGATGAGGGTCTGGATGGAGGTGACATCGACATTGTTAACGGCGGCGAAGTCGAGAACGATAGCGCGGAGGATTGGCCTGCTGTCGTTGAGATCAATCTTGGCGCCGCGGCGTGGGCCAGGGTCATTCCAGGGACGATCCTATTTCAGTCAGTGACCAGTTCAATCCCAATACACAAGAAGGTACTCACTCCGAGCTTCTCAAACTTGTCCAGAATAGTGCGGCGGGTCTCCTTGAAGACGTGGGCACTGAGAACATCCATGTAGTGCGCACAGTTGGTGTAGTTGAAACCTTCGCCGAAGCGGTACACGAACACACCAGGGTACGGCGACTGAATATCAATGACAGGGTTGGTGCCGTCGTCTTTCTGGACAGGGATGTAGGCCTCGCGCGTCTGCACTCCGAGGGACTCGCCCTTCTCGTTGAAAGGCACGTCCTTGCCGGCGGTATCCTTGGTGACGCGGTAGATACGGACCTTGCCCATGAAGTGGCCCTTGGCCTTGGCGAGGCGAAGGAGCAGGAGAGCGGCCGAAGCGGCAACCGTGAAGTAGATACCATTCTCAATGTTGGTGAAGATGGTGATGAAGACACCGCCGAAGAAGATGACAACCTCGAGAGGCGAGACTTCCCAGAACTGGTAGACGACGTTGGGAGGGGTGATAAGGTCACCGACAGCGTGGATAATCAGACCCGCAAGACTGGCCATGGGGATGTAGAAGAACACGGAGGTCAGGACGTAGAGAGCCAGGAGGACGATGACGGCGGTGAAGATACCAGCCAGGGGTGTGCGAACACCAGCCTTGGACTTGATGGCAGTACGGGAGAAAGAACCGGTGGCGGGGTAGGCACCAAGGAAGGGGCCGAACAGGTTGGTGAAGCCAACAGCAACAAGCTCCTGCGAGGGGTCGATGACATAGTTGTTGATGCGGCCGAACGACTTGGAAATGGCAATATGCTCAATGATCAGAACGATGATGGTAGCGGGCAGATCAGGAGCAAGGGCCGAGATAAGACCAGTGCTAATATTGGGAGTACCGGTG